TAACACAACTACTATGGCCATCCAACCTATTCAATTCATGGACTTTTATGTTCTTCCATTTACAATTGAACATTTAAGCTCCATTAAAATTGACTCCGCTAATATCCACATTCTCAAATTCTGATCCATTCAAATCACATCGTACAAAGTTAGCACCAATCAAAGATGTATTCTTGATCCGTATATTCTCAAATGATTGGTTCCTAATATCAACCTTCATGGCCACTAATAAACAAAGTCCATTTGATCCCGATTGAATGAATTTTACATCTATGCATGTTAGTCGTACTAAAAATTTGATGAACTCTGTGATCCCTTTGTTATCCTTCATCCTCTTGATCAGATCCGCTCTTTCCTTTTCATATTTCTCTTGAGAATAGTCATCCTTACTAAATTTATCATCCTAAAGATTTTTCAAGACATTAGTTATTTACTTTACTTATTTCTCGATCTCCTTTATATTCTCTTACTTATAGTTTAAAGATTTATAAAACTGATGATTGTTTGTCTTCTACAGGAATCCAATAATGTCTGAAACTTTCTATTTTCTAAGTATATCAAGGATCTTCTAATACAGAGATTCATCTATATCCTGGATGTAGGTTAGCATCTCATAAAGATCTTCCTTCATTTAATATACTTCTTGTTATTCTTCTTCTTGATTAGGTGAAATTCTACAATAATAAATAAATACTTACTTAAGTAATGATTGGATCTATTGGATTCCTTAGTTAGACTTCTCAATAAAAGCCTTTATATGTTGGTCCCACCAGCTTATAGTCTTATCTAACTCATTCATATAAGAATTCTTGGAAATATCCCAATCATTTAAAGTTGTACCTTCTACAATGTTGACTAATTTTTCTAAGTCTGTGTAAGAGGATTCAGCTAGATTAGTGTTTTCATTGAGGAGGTTTAAGTATGATTAGTTTTCCTTTTCAATCCAATTGTAAACTTATTTCATTGATTGTGACAACTCCTCCCAAATTTTCTTCATCATTTAATCAGTTTGAGAGAGTAAGGTTTTAAAGGCCATTCTCTATTTGGTTAGTTCAGATGTATCATTTAGCTTGGAGTCTTTTAATTTCTTGATGGCCATTTCTTGAAATTTATTGATCGGAATTGTTTGTTTGACATTCACTTCATGATCATAAAGGCATTCAGCACAAAGTTTTCTTTACGATTAGCATTTGTGAGGAGCTATACATACAAATGTAATTGGATTTCTAATGTGATAAGTGCAATTTATCATTTTTTTATTTTTAATATTGAATTTCTATTACTCAAAGTTTAAGTGATATACTGCAAAATCGATAAAAGTATCTTGTGCATATGTGTAAAATAGAAGATAGGGCTTTGTTTATATTTGGAATTGATTGTAATTGAGATAATATATGATATAGAGGATTCATTTCAACATCTGCATTACTTGATTTTTTAATAATATAGAATATTTTTATTTTATATGACTATTAAAATTTAAACAAAAATTGAGTTTTATGATAATTCATTAATTTTTCTTGTTTATTTTTAATTTTTCATCCAAATGTTATAAGATTGTTAACTATTGCAATTGGATTGTCTAGATGTAGTGTTATGTAAAATTTTATTTTTATTTCTAAACTAAAAAAAAATTAAATTAACTTTTATTTTTCCTCCCCTCTAGTAAATACGGGAGTCAAATAAAGGTCTCTTCCACTAGGAGATCATGGTGTTACTGTGATTCTGGGACTCCTGTGCCCACAGATCATGAGGCCTAGGTTCTGCCGCTCATGAACTGAGTGATCACCACCATCGACTCAGAAAGTCTTCATAGTGGGGGTGTGGGATGGATAACAAAAACAGAATAAACTTGGGCCAATCCCATTCCTTTAAAAGGCGGTCGGGGCAAGA